ATAAAAAAATACAAATAATAGTACAGTACAGTACATTTATCTTTTTAAAATAATATCGTTATTGCCGAAAGCAATACTCATTACTTCCACTAGATTAATTCCGTAGTTTTTTTGGTTGGCATTTTTTTCGTTAATTCTTGGACAAGCTTTTATATTGACATCTGTATAAACTAATAGCTGATTATAACAACAATTTTTCAAAATTCAAACCTATATACTTAATATGAAAATACTTCTGGTTAGGCTGACATTGGACAATTTCTTTATTTTGAGAATATCGATATAACCAGAGTTATGTTATTTTAAGTTTATATGAATATTAATAATATTAATTTATTACTTGGGAACCTAACCAAATAATTAAATAATCTTAACTCTCGAGGCAGCTTATATAAAGTTAGGCAGTTATAAAGAATCACATGCAGATTTAAATAAATTATTAGAAATTGAACCAGGTAATACAATATTAAATAATCATAGATAAGCTTATCAATTGATAAGTAAATAGAGTAAATTAATTGTACATAGGATAAATATTATGAAAAGTTATATACAGTAGTTTTATTTTGAATATGTAATTAATTTAGATATGTTTCATACTTGTTATTTACAATTTCTAATATTAAAAATCAATGCTATTATATTACTAATATTTTATTGTAATATAAGATATTTGACTTATTAGCATTAGCAAAATAATTACATTTGCGCAAAGTACATATTTAATTAAAAGTTTAATTATTTAAAAGTTTTTGAAGTTTCTCTCGTAACATTATTTCTTTTTCCAACTCGTTATTTTTATCTTTCTGAATTGCAAGCTTTTCATGCTCAATTCTCAAAAGTTTTTCTTGTTCTTCAACATTAATAGATTCACTTGTAATTTAGGCTTTTTTAGAAGATTTTCGATTAACAGAAGTTTCATTAGAGCATTTCCCTTTACCTTTATTGCCTTTACCTTTATTGTCTTTAAATTTATTAATTAGTTAGTATATATTTAATTACTAAAAATATATATATAAAAACCTTATATAACTTACTAGTTTTTTTAACCACTTTAGTAGTTCTTTGTAATAGAGATTTATCACGATAAGATTCTGGTATATTTGTTTTTTCATATATATAAGCTGAACTCCATTGAAGTTTGTCAAATTCTTTAGCTCTAATTTAATTATAAACAAAGTTTTGTAAAAAATTTTAAATATAAAATTTGTACGTATTATTATTATACAATATGTCAAAGTTATAAACAAATTAATTTATATATATATAGTACTTGTTAATTGCAGCTAATAAAGATAAATTATGTCCATTTCTGTTAATATTTGCATGAGCTGATTCTCCAGTATTTGTTGTGAATGGTGTATTAGTCCAAATTGATTGCGACATTTTAGTAAAAGCAGAAGATAAGCTAGCAAGTACCTATAGTTGTTTTTTATTTTGTACCCAATCTTTAAATAAAATATATAATAAAAATTTAAATTATAAATTATATTAATATTATTATTATATAATATATTTACCGGTTATACTAGGTTCTTCACAATTTTCAAGAAATTCAAGAGTATTCATAACTTCATAGACTGTTTTACTTGTAATTAATGAATATATTTTTTTTTTGATTTCTTTATTTAATCCTTTTTTATTACGAATGTTTCTATAATTTAAATAAAATAAATAAAAATAAATATTTAATTATTAATTTAAATATAATTATAAATTTTATCTTTTAAAATGTATAGTACATAATTTGTAAATTTGCTCTAAATGTTCTGTAGCATTAAATATTGGAAATTTCTCAGCTAAATATTGACCTAAACCTAAAATAATAATTACTATATATAATAGTTTAATAATTTTAATAATAAAAATTAATATAATATTTACCTAGTGCTTGACCATAATGCTTATCAGCCAAAATACATCCAATTCCACGACCATGAACATGTTGAAACTCAACAGGATGTTCACAATCCTGTTCAACACAATTAAAAAGTTCTTCAAATAGTTTTTTGTATGTATCGGCAGTTTGAAGAATTGTAAAAGCACATGCAAATACTAAAGCTTTTAGATATAATATAATTTTAGATTATAATATATAATTAATATATAATTAATATATAATTAATATTTATTAATATGTATAATAATAATATAATTTTCTTACTTTTTTTGTATTTTTCTATATATGCACATACTTCCCACTTGTTAATTGGTCCATGTATACGTTTAAAACTCATATCTATTTCAAAATACAAAGTATTTGCCAAAGATTTCATTTGATTTTTATAACCACATAGTATTAAATATTATCCATTATTAAAAAAGTCTAAAAGAATAAAATAAAATTAATATTATATAAGTTAAATATAAATTTTAAATTTAAAAATTTTAGATTTACAGATAGCTCTAATATAAGGATAATCTTCATTCTGATTTTGCTTTAAAAGTATATGTGTAATACTCATAATATCTTGACCATATGGATGTTCAGCATGACGTTTTGTTGCAATCATATGTTTAATTTTTGATTTATTATTTAATGATGGATGCAGTTCTGGAAGTGGAACTCCTTTAAGAAATCATTGTAAAAATGTACCTAATTAAGAAAAATTAATAAATATTAAAATTAATATAAAATTATAACAACCAGATAAACAACTACCAAAGTTACTGGAGTGCCTATACTCATACACATCAAGCAGGTGTAGGAATTTTTATACATCAAAAAATCTCCAAATATATTGCTC